CAAACACATACAGCTAACAGGCCGCGGGCGGCCGGTACCGGTCCAAAGCAGGCAACACAAGTGAAGGGTCCTATTAATAGCTGCTACAGTGACAACACTTCTCGGTTGTTCATTCACAAGCTGCGGAAGCGCTGCTGGTTGCTTGCGCGACAGTGCGACTTGGGCAGCGTGCGCCAGAGGGAGAAGATGGCACTTTGAGTAACAACTGCTAGGGTTGTAGAAGAGGGAGAAGGCGGCCATAGCCGCAACGGTTGGAGGTGAAGCAGGCAGGTCTATTCAAGGTACATCCAAGTAGGTGAAAGAGAGTCTGTGAGGCGAGCGATAGAGGTATTGAGTGCAGTGAGGTTGATTGATACAAGTCGGAAGTGGGTGAGAGAGAGCGTGTCACATCTGAAGGAAGGAGGGGGTCACATACATACCTGCATAGGGTTGTCGTAGATGAGTGCGGTCAAAGTCGGTGGATACTAAGAATTTTTCATTGTATAATATAATAATTGAGTGGAGGTCTATTTTGCGCCGATTTGAGTCTCATCTTCGGCTCACGTGTGAACTCTCGTGTGAATATTTTGTTAATGGTCTGAACTTGGGAGGTTTATTGCACTGGTATCGGAGATGGAACCCATTGCCTCCATGAAGGAGGATTGAGCGCTGACACACATCTAGACCAATAGCGGGAATTGGAAGTCAGGGTTTTACCCTGGTAGGAGGCCAAAGTAGAAGGGGCGATTAAGGGTGGATGCGACTGAAGCACTTGCCTGCGAGGAGCGACGACCGTAAGGAGCGACAATTGAAGACCCCAGTGACGTGCCTCGCCCCCCACTGACCCTTGATTCCATATTGGTCTTGAAAGTTTCCATGTCTTTTTTGGTGACTGCTGCTGCAACTAGGTTGTTTCTGCTAATGTCAATTGTTGCACTTTGTTGTTATTATCTTTGAGTTTGCATCTTGGTCAGTTTCGAGTCTTAAGTCGTGCATGTTTGGTTGACACTCGACAACTGGATAGCAGCACATTAAGTAGCAAGTGCGGGCGTGAGAGACAGGCGCTCGTAAAACAACTTATCTAGCCCTAACACGGTCATTGATTGTCCTTAAATTGCTGGTTGGTCACCCCTCTACTCGAAACCTGTAATGACAGACGTGGAAGGGATTAGACTGTCGATTCCGTATTGGTCTTGAAAGTTCCCATGTCTTTCTTAGTGACTGTTGCTGCAACTAGGTTGTTTCTGTTAATGCCAATTGTTGCACTTTGTTGTTATTATCTTTGAGTTTGCATCTTGGTCAGTTTCGAGTCTTGAGTCGTGCATGTTTGGTTGACACTCGACAACTGAATAGCAACACATTAAGTAGCGAGTGCGGGCGTGAGCGGCAGGGGCTCGTAAAACAACTTATATAGCCCTGACACGGTCGTTGATTGTCCTTAAACTGTTGGTTGGCCACCCCTCTACTCGAAACCTGTAATGACAGACGTGGAAGGGATTAGACTGGTCAACCCTCGGATCTAGACTAGGGTAGTGATAAGTGTTGGGGGTGTAAGCATTGAGGGCTAGGTCTAAGTGGTGAGGCGGTGGAGTCAACTTACCGTTGTGCCAAACACTCATTATAGACGAAGACTGCATGTTTCCCTTTCTTGCCTTGACTGTGATATGTGATGAAAATCAAAGCAGACTATCATTCACCCACACAGATGGAAAACTCTACATACTGTATATATACATATGTATATATATATATTGTTTTTGTGTGTATGTGTGTGTGTGTGTGTGTGTGTGTGTGTGTGTGTGTGTGTGTGTGTGTGWGWGAGAGAGAGAGAGAGAGAGAGAGAGAGAGAGAGAGAGAGAGAGAGAGAGAGAGAGAGAGAGAGAGAGAGAGCATGCCGTTCTTGGAAGTGAACAAGGTACATATCTGTGTGTGTATGTTTCAAAATTTCACCACAACAACCCCTATTCCACCTAGATGAGTTGATCCAAAATTGAATCAGCTTTGGTCCTATTGCAGACAATGAAAACACTTCGAGTTGAGACAAACCAACAATGAAACAACTATCTTTGTAGCAAGCAACATGGAGCGAAATAGAAGCATATAAATCCCTTTCTTAATTGTGTTCACTTTGGCTTTTTCGAGTACCCATTTCATGTCCTTGCAGCTCCCCTTTTACTGTCCTATTGCAGACAATGAAAACGCTTCGAGTTGAGACAAACCAACAATGAAACAACTATCTTTATAGCAAGCAACATGGAGCGAAATAGAAGCATACAAAATTATAAATCCCTTTCTTAATTGTGTTCACTTTGGCTTTTTTGAGTACCCATTTCATGTCCTTGCAGCTCCCCTTTTACTGTGCCTCTCATGTACAAGGCACGCCACGTTGATTATGGTTGAGTGCGCGCTGTCCACATCCCCGTGTGCCACAAAAGCCCGCTTGCACATTATGAAAGGAGGCAGAGTAAAGGCCGATGTATATTCCTGTTCATTTTTCCTCAGATCTTCAGCTTATATTTTGTCTGACCTCTTACTGATACTCATGGCAGCTCATCCGTATACATTTACTAGTAGTACAAAAGAGGAGGGAGGAAGGAAATCGTAGGTGGAGTTCTCACAGGGTTCTAAATACTCACCACTGGAGCAGACTACTCTAGAACGGGACATGAGGCCAGTCAGAGTTGGTTGCATAAGACTTTGAGTTGAGCAGCAGCCGTTGCCTATGGTAAGTGGTCACCCCTACAGACTGGACAGGACCGGTTCGGGCATGGACTGTGGAAGCACCACATCCAGTTCTCGCAGTCGCAGTTGCTGCATCGAATGGCACAACGTAGGCAGACGTCACAGGCCATGTGGCTCGTGCATGCTAGGAACAGAGAGTGTAGAAGCATTGTCGTTCCAGCCCCTGTCTACAAATTGGACACGACATGTCAGGGTGCCCTACATGATTGCATTATTGATTGTCATCATATGCATGAAAACAAAACTCACATGGGCTATCCCTTCATAATCCTCATGACACAAGGCATGTGAACCACATGGTAGCCGAATCTCAGGTGGGTCATCACAGAGTGGCATTGCGCAGGTGCAATCAGACTCGACTTATTCACACTTGTCTTGCATGCAAACAGCGATATAGCAAACTGGCGACATGCGCCCACACAGTACTCGAAGATATCGTAACCAGATAAGAGTTCTCTTCCAACTGGCTATGGCATCTGAGCGCCCACACAAACTCACTGTTCGCACTCTGGATCACCCTGGATATCCCACACGCAACACTCTACACGCAACACACACACACACACACACACACGCTACTATGGCTATGGCAGCTATGGCTGCCACTATCCTATCGCTACACTACACTTCACTGCCCTCTTCGTCTTCAGGCGCACTGCAGACCTCCTCGCACAAGCTGCTGAGGCAGCGCTTCCGCATGGCATCCGCAGGAATGAATGAATGGCTGGACGCAGCCTCTTGATTTATACTTCTGCGTTGCGTTGGTCTGCCCTGTGTCCCTTGGCCCTTGGWGCACACAGTCCCAGGCGGTACTTGCTGGAAAGGACCGGACTGACTAACTGGGACTGTTGACTCAGCAAGGTGGCCTACCACCACTTGACCACTTGCCTCTGTTCGACACAGGCTCACTCCGAAAGGCCAGTTCTAGAAACCTCTAACTTGGCCTTTCGGTACTGTAGCAGCTACGACTTTGCCCCTTCAGGTAAGTAGCAGCTACGACCTTGACCCTTCAGACATCCTACAACTACGACTTCGGAACTGTCTAGACTTCTACCCTACAAGTCTACAGTTCGATTCCTCTCTACCCTGTGACCTCCGGAAACCTACCTACCACTGGCGGTCCTACAGGTCGCAGGTTCAAATCTACGAGTTGACACTAGTACTGTACACAGGCAAGACGGGGAACTAGGGATCGAGCCCTGGGATCTGCATTCGCTACTGCGAATTGGTGAATACCGTTTCACTCCCGCCGGCCTAATTTTGAGGTCCTCCGAGAAAACTTCAGTCCAAGGCAGGACCTTTACGCTTCTGCTGTCTCTCATAGGCCCGGACTATATCGGGAGCTGTCTCTAGAAGTTCAGATCTTGTAAACCAGCGGTCGTCTTCCGGTTCCTGATAACTAAAATGAACCTTGTACTGTTTCTGCGGACGACCCCTACCTCCAGTTCTGAAGATGTCTTCAGCCACGATACCATCTATGTCATATCTTCCATCCGTATCTGGTGGGATCATCGATCGACGGGATGGAAACTGATCACTTGTTTGACAAGGTAGCAACTTGGATGCGTGGAAAACTGGGTAAGTGTGGAGGTGTGCTGGTAACTCTATGGTGTATGACGGTCCGTCTTCGCCGCCCTTGACTTCCAGAACAGGCCACGGTCCTCTATATGTGGGCAGTAACTTCTGCGAGATGTTCTCCTCAGGTGCAAACTCTCTAGAGCTAACCCAGACTAAGTCGCCTACCTGAAATTGTGAAGGACAACGATGTTTGTTCGCTTGCTCTATCATCCTATGCTGGGTTCCTGAGGTTCTCGACAACAGTAGCCAGTTCCTTCTCGTGCTGTACGGCAAACTCCCTGGTCCCGGGCGGTAATCTCTGAATCTGATCCCGGTTGAGTCCCTCAAACGGTCTGCGCGGTCTAAAGGACTTGTGCAGTTCGTTGGGAGTGCGACATGTAGACAGATGCACGCTGTTATTGTACGCACTAGCTACTTTGGGCAACATCTCATCCCAGTTAATCTGATCTGGCCTAATATACATGCGCAGAACTTGCTGTAGGATCTTGTTCATTTGCTCGGTCTGACCGTTAGTCTCTGGATGACGGCCGGGCGACATCAACAACTTAGATCCATACACTCCCATGAGTTCTTGCCAGTTCTAGCTGGTGAAGCGACTATCTCTATCGCTAACTATTGTCAGCGGGATTCCGTTCTCACTAACCCAACAGTCAAAGAATCTCTGTATGACTAAATCAGTGCGTGCCTCTGAAGGCAAAGGAACAAAAACGGCATATTTACTGAATCGGTCAACTATGACCATGACTTGGCTCTTGCCATGCCTGCTCTTGACTTGAGTGTCCATGAAGTCGATGGACACTGAGTCCCGCGGCTGGTCTGGAATGGGTAAGGGTCTGAGAAGACCTAGCGGGGCGCGCGTAGAACTCTTGTTACGCTGGCAAACCTTACAACTGCGCACATACTCTACGCAGTCATTCTTCATTCCTGGCCAGGTATACGCGCGCATCAGATTGGCCAAAGTCTTTTGCCAACCGAAATGACCCTCTGTGTCATGGCATTCTCCCAAGATCAGACTACGGATCTCTTCGCTATTGGGAATGCATAACCGGTTAAAGACATTAGTCTTCTCAAATAGCAACCCTTCAGTAGTGCGGTAGTTCGGCTCAGTCTCTGGGGCCTCTTTAACTTTCTTAAGGAGATCACTGTAGATAGGGTCCTGCGCGTACGCTTCTCTAACCCTCTGCTGCAGGTCCTTCCCTATATCAAGGTAATGCACTATCGCCCCAAACTAATCAGCCCTTCTACTCAAAGCATCCGCGACTACGTTGTACTTCCCTTTGACAGGCTTGAGCTCAAAGTCGTACTGATCTATCTCTGCGGCCCACCTAGTAAGCTTAGGTGTCATCTTGGCCTGCGTCTTTAACCATCGTAACGTTTCATGGTCAGAATAGACTTTGAAGTGCCTCCCAAGCAAGTAGTGCTTCCGGTGGTCTAAGGCTTGCCTGAGAGCGTAGAGTTCCCTCTCGTAGGTAGATGTCGCGACCTTCTCTGAAGGCATTCTAGCGGACATGAACTCTACGGGTCTATACCCATTGCCATCGTCTTGCTGCAACACCGCGCCTATGCCGTATTGACTCGCATCGGTCGTGACGACAAAAGGCAAGGACGCATCGGCGACCTTAAGGACTGGATACTCTATCAATGCCTGCTTTAACTTCTTCATGGCAGACGTGCAGTCCTTGTCCCACTTCCAGATGGTCTCCTTCCTCAACAATCTGCGAAGGGGCGCAGCGATGGTGGAGAAGTTCCTCAAGAACGAGCGCAACTCTGTTAGCGTACGTGGCGTGGGCCAATCTCTAATCGCTGCGATCTTACTATCCTCTGGCTTAACGCCGTCTCCGTCTAAGACGTGGCCTAGGTACAAAACTTGGGTCTTTGCCCAATTGCACTTTTTTGCATTGATCTTGAAGTTAGCTTCCCTCAGCTTCTCCAAGACCTGCCTGAGATGACCCTGATGCTCTTCGAGGGTCCTACTAAACACTAAAATGTCATCCAAGTAAACGACAACAAATCTATCTAACCACGGCCTAAACAGGTCGTTCATGCAGCGTTGGAACGTAGCTGGCGCATTGGTTAGTCCAAAGGGCATCACTATAAACTCATAATGCCCGTACCTAGTCCGGAAATATGTCTTATACTGATCATCAGGATGTACCTCTATTTGATGATATCCGGACTTTAAGTCTATCTTAGAGAAATACTTTGCCCCGTGCACTCGATCTAAGAGATCGTCTATCCTGGGCAGTGGCTCAGCATTCTTTACGGTAATCGCGTTCAGACCCCTATAGTCTATACACATCCTCAGCTCTCCCTCTTTCTTGGGAACAAAGAGAACAGGCGCTCCAAAAGAAGACGAACTGGGCCTAATCCAACCCTTCTCGAGGAGCTCGTCTAATTGCTTGCGGAGCTCCTCCAACTCCCACGGGGACATCCTATACACGGCGCCCTTAGGAGTCCTACTGCCAGGTTCTATCTCGATACGGTGCTGAATGGGCCGCGGTACTGTTCCTGTCGGCGGCTCAGTTAAGTCCTTAAACTCCTCTAGCAGCTTGGCAATCGCAGGGTCTATCGGCTTCTCTTCCGTAGGCGCAGTGACTGGCCTAACATAGGCAACAAAAACCTGTTCCTCTAATCCCTCCTTCTTCACCAATCTGGCGAACGCGGGGGCACTAAGGCAGCAATGTGCCAAGGAATTCTCTACCCCTGACACATGGAACAGGCGGGCAGTCTTGGCCTCACCTGACGAACTGGGGAGCCTACACTCGTGCTCCTTCAAATGGAGCGTGGCCCCGGCTGCCTCTCCCCAATCCATTCCCAGAACAACATCAAAGGGGAGGCTGTCTTCTACGAGGAGAGTCAGGGAGTGGAGAATCCTTTCCACTTTCCCATCTTTCTCTAGGCGGAAATACGCCTGGACTCCCTCTACGTACTCCTCTACAGCCATAGTGCGATTGTCCGCGAGGATACTAACTATAGGGTCTGCTAGCTTTTGGACTTTGAGTCCCAGCTTCAACTTCTGCAGCGCTTTCTTACTAATATAGCTGCGGGTGGCCCCTGAGTCTACTAGGGCCCCTACTCTACTTCTAAAAATCTCCGTATCTAGCAATATAAGCTGCCCTTTATTCTCCTTCTTCATCTTGGCCTAGGCGGGCCTCCTCTCCTTCAATTCTTCGGCCACGCCTGTGAGGGAGGTGTCTAGCGAAACTCTAACACAAGCAGTTTCGGGACAGCTGTCTAGACACCGGCCTGCAACCTCTGTCGTAGGCACATGTGGTGTGGGAGTCTCCTGCCGGCTAACGCTATTTTCCCCACATGGCCTAGTGGTAGGGGCAGTTGCTACCCCTACCGGCGGCTGCCTTTTGGCCCTTGGGCAGCCGTTCGGGTCTCTCGATACTTAGGACAGTATTTGATGATGTGGCCCGGGTCACCGCAGAAAATGCACTGGCCCCGGTCCAATCGTTGTTGCCATAAAGCCTGGTCCAGACCCAAAGATTCCCAAGGCCTACCCTGCGGTAGCCCTGGGTGCCATCCTCCTACCCTATAGGGTGACCTATTCCTAGGACGATTTTGAGGGGGACCTTGACCCCTGCCTCCCGCTTGGCGGTTTCCTCCTCTGCCGCCAACCCCCTGATCGCCCTGGAACCGGCTCCCTGAGGCCCGGCCCCCTTGGCCCTGGCCTCTTCCTTGCGGCCTCCCTCCAGCCGCGACAACAGCATAAGATCTCCCCTGGCCCACACCGCTGTCCTCCTCCTCTAACCCCCACTCAATCTGATCGTAGGGGATCTCATCCACACTACCCTCGTCTAAAGTCAAGACAAGGCTGTCCTTGGTCTTTACTTGCCCTGAGATAGTGCGGCCCTTCCATTGCTTYCCCTTRTCCAAGTCCTTGTGCCAGAAGGTGGACACAGACGCGGACTTGGCTTCAAAAGCCACCACTTCCCGACTAAGAGAATCATACGTAGTGGCAGGGTCTTCGCTCTTTGCGAAGAAATGCCCTCGAAGGGCTTCGGGTATGGCCCGATAGAAGAGGCCAACCAACTGGGTGTCTGTGACCCCATGGTCAGGGACAGCCACTAACTCATCCATTGTATTCTTGAGTGCCCTGACACTCTTCCACTTGCGGGCGTGGATCGTCTGCAGCCTATCTGACGCTTTAACACTACGAGCGACATCAGCAAATCGCTCGCGTAGCAATTTCAAGAACTCAACGAGGGGGGTGAATGTGGAGTATGTTACCGGATCGTCACTGCAGTTGGCAGCACGAACAAGGGACCTTGCAAAACTCGCGGCCTCATCCTTAAGCGCGTGGATCGCAATTAGGACCTGCTGATCCGGGGAGACCTGTTGCAGATGCACATAGGTCCTGACATTGGCCTCCCAATTGTCAAAGTTCTCTTCCCTTTTTCCACTGTAGGAATCAGGGAATTCCCTGCGAGGACGAGTCTCCTCCTCCTTGGGAGCTGCCACCTTGACGCCCTCAATGGCGCCGACACAAAAACGCTCAGTCTTCTCGAGGCGGTGACTCACCTCGGACCCCACAGCGCCTACTAACTCGCGAGCAAAGTCCCGTAATCCCGTTCGCATCGAACGCACAGATATCTCCTGGCTGCGACTAAATTCATAGCGCTTTTCTTGTACTTTGGCTAAACGCTCGACGCTCTGGGCAATGATCTCCACCTTCCGCTCGAGATCTACCTGGGGTGTCAATTGCAATCTCAGTTTTTGCACCTCCTCCAATTCCTGTATTGCTGCATTCGCCGCCTCCACTCTTCTCTTTTTCTCCCTCATCATCGCGAGCTTCCACGCCATCCTCTGTTCATCCTCCATCGCCCGCCGCGCCAGAACATCCTCTTCTGCTTCCCATTTTTTCATGGCGGCTTTTTGCTCGTCCTTGGGGATGTACATAGCAACCTCTTCTTCTTCACCCAGGGACAAGTTGGCGACCCATTCTGAAATCCGCTTCTCCATCTCTTCGTCCTTGCTGCCACTGTAATGCCCAGTCCTCCTTTCCAGTGGCGGTCCCTCTTCTTCCTCATCCACCTCTTTCAATTTCTCTTCTTCTTCCTTCCTCAGCCTCTCTTTCTCTCGGGCCATCTCTTCCTCCATCTTTTTCAGCTTGGCCGCCTGCTCCTCCTTCAAGGCCTTCTTCTTAGCCTCCTTCTTCTCCTTCCTCTCCTGCAGAATGGCGGTCATCTTCTCCTCCTCCTCCTTCGTGTAGGGGTTGGTGGAAGTACCACCATGAGTAGGCCCTACTCTACATGCAAAGGTGGGCCAGAAGCCCAGAGGAAAGAGGAGACGCCAGAGGGTCCCCCAGAGAGAGAACCCAACCAGCAACCCATACATCGGGTAGTCGTCCATCGTGGTGTTGGTGCACGACAAAGGTCCCACTCCTCACCACGTAGCCCTACCCGGACACACTGACCTACTGACTGACTTCCTAAGGACCACAGGATAAGACCCTATCAACTATGGCCACTACCAACCCAAGACTACTCTAAGGCTGTCACTACAGAACCAAGAACTGATCAGGAGGTATTTAAGAAGATCCCCCAAACTTCGCAGGAATTCTTTAACGTCGCGACAGGACGACGCGATCAGCTTGGCTCCTCTGGCAATTTCAGCCCACAACTCAGCCCGTCCAGCCTCCTGTGCCACACCGAGCAGCCCGCCGGTCAGTACCGGTCCTTGGAGGGGTTCRTATCCCTCGGGACAGTCGAGTCGTCAGACACGGATCATCAGCCTTCTGGGTCCGGTAGGGGAGTGGCTCAACCAGGCCTCAACACTTAAAGACGGCCTTCGTTTCAGCCTACAGCTCGGAGTTCAGACCCTCCACACTGAACTCAGTAGACCTGCCGGACAGTACCGGTCATTGGGCTAGACGAGTTGTTTAACGAGCGCTCGCCGCCAGAGTAGAGCTTTGGTCCTACTAAGCCCGTGCAAGTTTGGCAGCAAGGCCCTATCCTTCATCCACAGAGTCCTAGCACCTAAGACAGAAGAGACTCAATGCAGAAAGAGAAGACAGACAACTCAGCAAGTACCGTGGGGTAAGTGCACATCCACAGGGTAAGGGGATAGGCTAAGGGCTCAGCGAGACATCACCGACTCCAGCTTGGTCAAAATCTTGGTCAGCAGCTCCGGTCAACGCCTTGGTCAACGCTGAGTCAACGCGGGCAACCCCCAATCAACGCTTGGTCAACACCCTCGGTCAACGCCTGGTCAACCATCTGGTCAACCCTTGGTCAACGCTCTGGTCAACGCCCGGTCAACCCTCAACCTCAGCTATGGCTGCCGGCACCATCACCTTCGTCACCCTCGCCATCTTCTTCCCCTTCCTTCACTTTCTTTCTTCTTCTTCTTCGCTGTAT